AGAAAAACAACAGTGGTAAGGGTCAATGTACTTGGAAGAAATTCGACGCTGTCATTTCAGCTTGGGTTCATGCAAAGCCCCGGGCAAAGTGGCCGTGCGATCTTGATTAGATGGCTTGATTTTGAATGGGGTCTCTATGACTAGAGAATCCGGGAACATCTCCAAAAACGGAGGTGCCAAAGTTTGACATCTAAGCTTTCATGGATAGGGCGACCCTTCTCAACAAACACGTTTAAACATGTCAAAGAGGTGCACTTTTTGTTTGGTCGCCACCTGTGGAGCTTGATGAGCTTAGCTGTAGGGATGCAAACGGCCAAACAGCTTGCAAAACAAGAGTCTCTCGAAGAGCGTCGCGCAAAGAATACCAGCAGCTGCATGCCCAGCCAAAAGAACACCAGCCAGCTGCATGCCCAGCCAGTGTCAATTTTCCTTGGATGGCGCATTTGCCGGCCCAGGTCATTCCAAGCTTGTGCACCATTGGTTGACCCTGGACATTGGAGGCTTGCAGCCGGGTTCAAGATCAGAGAACACTATACTATACAATCTGAAGCACCCACGACAGACCTTGAAAAAATGCCCTGTATACCAACTTAAACACGGTGTTTTCAAAGCTCGTCAGGCCCTACGTCTTGGCGTTCATGGCCCTATCTTACGAGCCGCGCCAGGCGTCCCTACATCCTGGAGTATATCGTGGCCCTGGAGAGTGTCTCATTGATCGGAGGAGGCCTGCAGCCTTATGGGGTTTACATTTGCGTTCAAGATCTCTCAGTGCAAAAACCATCGTACTTTTTGGGACACTCTGATTGAATTCAACGGATTGCCACTCAAGATTTTGGGTGGCCTGCCGCCAGCTTCTGTGGAAAGGGCAAGTGCACTCAATCCATCCGAAAAATCTCATCTGGTTTTGGGTCACTTGAAAACAAAGGTTGAACATACAAAACTTATACCCGAAAGCCCCGCCAGGCACACCTACATCTCGGAGTACATCTTGACTGTGGAAAGCTCTTCTGACGGGAGGCGTGAAGTCTTTTGGTGTTTGCAACTGAAAGGGACCACAACCAAACAGGAATGGCCTCGAACCCACTAGCGATGGCCTCCAACTGTCGTTTCTAAGAGAGGCTGCTGTAGCTTAATTCCTTTCAACGTCAACTCCAAGCCAATCTTTCTGCTCTATCGTTGAGCAAAGGATATTGCGTTTCAGTTCAGCCGAGTGACATACCAGTGTCTCATGCTGCAGGAAAGCAACAAGAACCAACGGAGTTGGAGGCCAGGCTGAATCTTCCAATCGTCGCACCTTGAGCGCGGAAGGTTTGAGAACGTTTTTGCCACACATTCCACAATAGAGCCAGCAATTCTGAATAGAAAGGTCGACCAACAAGTGCCACCGTGTTTGTACTGTAGAGCACGCGGCTCAAGCTTGGGTGAAAGGATTTGCTCTTTTGACGCCTTTACAGCCTGTTGGGATGAAGGGAGTTCCAATGAAGGCAAAGAAGGTTTCTCGGGCCACGCCGTTCAAGATTTCAGCTGATCGTTCGCAGCCCCGCTCGTTCAAGCAAAAGCAGCTGTCGTGGACACTCAATGGTCTTCGTGCAATGAAAGCTCCATGGGCGGGGGTTGCCAAATCAAACTCATGCAGCTTGTTGGATTCCTTTCCCTTAACTTCCCATGTCCCACATTGTTTTGATGACGAGGCGCACGAAGCTGTCCAATGCCAAAATAGCCTTTAGTCGGTCGATGTCCTCAGCGTGTTGTAAATGAATCTGACCCCAAAACCGGAATCAAATTTCACAAAAGCTTCATAAAGTTTGGCGTCAGGTTCAGGGGTGGTTGTGCCATGTTCCACGGAAGCACCAAGGCCATCTTGGAAAAAAGACCAGGTAGAACCGAAACTCGCGCAGGGTGAAACATAAAGCGAAGAAACAAAGAAACAAAGAAAGAAAACGAAACTGTGGGACATGTGGTTTTCGATGCGCAGTCACCATGGAAGGTGTCAACCGGTCAAATGACCACTCGCGTTTTGGCTCAAGAAATGGTGCGTGACTGACGCACGGGGCTTTTGTTTTGTCGCTCACAGAAACAAACGAACAGAAAGCAAACAACGACAGAAACCGGCCGAACAAACTTTTAGAAACATGTCTGGAAAGCAAGGCAAGAACAAAAAGAACAGGGAAGAGGGCGAAGACAAAGTGAACATGTGGTGCGCCCGCTTCTCGCTTCCCGTGGAAGCCGGATCACTGTCGGAGAGAGGAGGTAATAAAATTATACCAGCGTAGACCCCAAACAGAGCAATGTTCAAAAAATGAGATCTCCGAACAATATGGCCAGCAGTATTTCCTAGAGGAAGAAAACTATAGTCCACCATGTAGACGCACATACAAGATTCAAAGGTTGGCCGCATGATTTCACACTTGTCTCCCACTTGTCTCCGAGTAAGCTCTGGATGCTCTCAGTGCTCTGGCCGCATGATTTCATACTTGTCTCCCATTTGTCTCCCACTTGTCTCCCAGTTGTCTCCCAGTAAGCTCTCGATGCTCTCAGTGCTCTGGCCGCATGATTTCAGGCTTGTCTCCCATTTGTCTCCCACTTGTCTCCCAGTAAGCTCTGGACGCGGCCAGGAACACAAGCCCGGAGACAAACTCAAAATCATCCGGCCCGAGCATGCACCCCTTTAAAAGGAGTAAGAACCGCTCACAGGTAAACCTGTTTGGGGAATTACGGCTGATAACGGTCAAATGGAAAAGGAACAGCAAGTCAAGCGCGACTTGCGCAGTAATTTTACTTCATGTTAGCATTGTGAGAGGGCAGTTTAGTTGCAAAAAAGAACCATCTAGTTCGACTTGTTGCGCGACGCGCTATCGACATTCTCCTGCGTAACGGTTCGTGGCAGGTGGAGGGGATTGAGCGATATATCGAGCATTTGTAATACCGCGTTGGAAAAGTGAGGGCCGTGCACCTTATCTCTTCTCGGGCAATGTGGAGGGCATGTGTAAGAACAAAAGGAATCCAAAAATACTTCTAGACAGGTTACGTTTTGTCGGCAAAATGTCGCGTTGGAAGCGCCGCTTAGGAATGATGTGTGAACTAAATAGCGTCGCGACAGGAAATATGCACGCGCACAAGCGACTTGTACAACAAGCAATACCCACGGAGTCTCCGATGAAACTTTGCTCGGTGGGCAAGCGTGGCAGAAGAAAGCAATTGATTGAAGGAGAAGCACCAATCATTGCGTCATCTGCAGGAGCACCGCCACGGCCAGCGAACTCTGATGGGACATCTTCCAATTGTTTGCAGCACGAGTGCGGTGAGAGGTAAAAACGCAATGGACGCAAAGGGATTTGAGAGCGTTCTGTTACGCAGTCTTTCGTGTGAAACTTATATACTGGTGGTCAAATCGTTGGAACACAGAGTAAGCGTGCGTTAGATTGAACTCTTCGGGTAAACATCCCGATGTTTGGGCAATATTATCGGACGCGGCGGCGGCGTCCGTAGTATAGTCACAGGGGCCGTCGCCAGGTGTTTGCGGCGATAGAAGCGGTGGTAGTTGCAGGTGATATGACAGAGCTGCTGAAAGCATATGCATTATTTTCGGAGAGAAAGGGATTGCGCGCAAAAAAAGTACTGCTGGCTGTGACCCAACACCAGCTCCTGTGGAGAGTGTTTAAGCCGTAGAAGGTCAAAACCTGCATCGAACACAAGTTTGGACAGAATGACAAAAAGTCAAACAGAATGCAAAGCTGCAAGCTCACTTTTTCAACGTGTTTGAGGTTAAAGCAGATGTGCGGCGAGCTGTCCTTAGCTGAACCAAAGATGGAGAAAGATGTGTGTACCAGTAAAGTCACCGTGCTTGACAGCAAATTAAATACAGCAACATGAGTGCATCCCAGGTGCAGTCTTCAGCCGCTGTGTCGAAGGCGCAAAGGTAGAGCTTCCAGAGAATCATGTTGATGCCTCTGGGCCTTGAACTCTAGGCTTCTTTTTCGCTTTGCTCTCTCGGCGGTTTCCTGTCGTCCCTCTAACCACACATTGCGGTGGCGCAACACCAAAAGAGTGAAAAGGAAGCCTTTCATGGGCCCCATTCGGCGGGCTGCAACAGCAATCTTGCGGACAAAGGCAAACGATTGCTCGCAGGCTGAGTCATTGAATGGTGTTCTGCCCGGCCAAACTTCTGGAAGGGGATGACGTCCATCTTTTTTGCATCCCCTGTGGCCCTTGTTGAAATGGAACCGGTCAATGGAGAGCCGGACGCAAGCCAGAATCTTGCTCATCTTGCACCGGTTTTTACGGTGGTCAGCGTGGATGAAACGATGCAACGTGCACGCGCAATCGTAGAAAACATGGGGCAAATGGTTTTGGACAAACGAAGCACGCTCCTGAGCGTTCATCTGGCTCACTCGAAGGCCTTGCTGACGTGCCTGAAAGTGTGCGAGTTCAGCAAGAAAGAAATATACCCCAGTCGGACTTTCTTGCGTGAAAATGAGTTTCGCAGCTGCAATGATTTGGCATTCCCGAACTGCGGCTAAGATACCGCCTGTTCGGCGTGATTTTGCCGTGGTCAGCCATTGCTTTCTGCAGCTGCTGTTTTGTTCAACCTCGCTGAATGAAGTGAGCTCCCCAACACGGGGCATGACCCCACACTCTCGGACTTGAGGCTCGGAAAATTTCAGGGCGTGTTGAACGCGGAACCGAGCTGGGACGTCATGGTTGAACAATGAAAGCCTTCGGCCTGTGACAGTCTGGCACACAAATCGTCTTGAACGGACAGCTCGATGGACGCTTAAGAGACAAACAGGATACTCGTCCATGCAAACTCGAAGTGCAAAATTTAGAGCGCGATGGGCTCGCTTGCACGTGGATGCCAGAACGCGAGCTGCTTGATGTATGCCCTCTTGGTAGGTAACCCACAACCGAAGGATAAGATCGGACCCCCACAGGCCGTCTGCGTCATCCACATGTTGGCTGCAAAACTTGTGGCCTGGAAGGGGTCGATTTTGACAGCCAGTGACGCAGTGGGACTTCAAGATTTTGCAATTCCAAACTCCGTCGTCAATATTGTGACACAGGCGGCTCCGAATCTTGGCGTTGCCATCAATGCCTAGCCTTTTGTGGTGGCATTTGGAGCAGGAATGCTGTAACAACCACCGTTTTTGGAAAGCGACAGACACAACGTCAATGTTACGTGCACACCAGGCTTCGAGCTCTCGACGATTCATCGGCCAAAGTAGAGCTAAACTTTCCAGGCCTAACAAGTGAATCGCGGTGTATGTGACCCAGCAAGAACTGAGCTCCCGCTCAAGGACATCCTGGGAGCAGTTAAAATCTCGGAGTTGCCGCATGCACCTTGCGAGCCCCTGAAAAGTTGCACCACACTGCAAAATTAAATCCGACATTTGCTTCAAGAAGGAAACTGCGAAGGCTATGCATGGCTCAGTAACGTTCATGAAAAGGAATTGGAAATCTGTAGTGAGAAGAGTTTTCCTTTTGCTTGTGTTCTTTGAGGCAACAGCCCATGGTCCGGCAAAGGTGCAATGACATGAAGGACATCGGCGGACCTCAACTTCTGCCATGCGAAGGTCGTGCAGTTGCAGGCAGCAAGGAATGCGCCGAGTATAGGAAATGTTTAAGACGCAGTGGCAAAATGTGCACGTGTCAAAAAGTGGAAGAAGCGCAAGGCGAGGCAAGCGAACGTCCAACAATTCTAACAAATCCGACTGCAAAAGATGAGGTGCTGCAATTTCCAACTTGTGAAAAATAAAGTCGCAATCTTGCGAGACAAAGTCGACTGTCGGATATTGTTTCCGCAATAGAAAGGCAGCAATCTGTCCTCGGCATTTCCTGTCTGCACAATGGCTGGCTAGAACGAAAATGGGAAGCAACTCTGCATTCCCCGGATAAAAAAGCAAGTTCGACAACCTTTCCTGCACAGCCCCACCAAGAATTGAGTCCTTTTGGGACGCATCAGATTGATCACCGCTTTGGCCCTGCGTTCTGACGATATACTCAGCCAAGGAATCCCAGATCCTGGATTCATCCACATACTGGGTGAGGAAAAGCAGCATGGCCTCCATCTTGTCCTTCTGTGGTGGATCAAGTATCGGGGCACTTTCGCCAGAGTTGATGCTGTGGACCTTGCGCAAAGATTCTGTCAGCTGCAAGCAGGTCTCATTATATCTTGCGGCGTTCGTTGCGAGCTTGTGCTTGAACATGTGCAGCAGATTGGTGAACGCAACCGTCAATGCAACATCTTGGGGGCACGCTCTTTTCATCAAAGTGACACCACCTTTTCGACCGCGCTTGACGCAAGCAAGCTGGGTGTATTCCAACAATTTAAAAACATTGTTGGCGTGTTGCTTTGCAGCTTCCTTCGGCAGTTGCTTTTTGTCTTTGGATCTGAGGGCCTTTATTGGGCTGTTCACATCAATGAAAACTAGTGTTGTGGATGTCAGGATCCAATGCGCACCAAGGAACGCATATGCCTTCATGTCCGGAGCCAAAGTCCCCCACCATTGCTCGAACGGTTCCTCCAAGGAAGCTTGCTGTTGCGTGGCCAAAGGCCCAGCCGCCTTTGGCAAGTTGCCTTCTCTGAGCAGGAGAATCAAATTTGGATAACGTTGACTTGCTGTTTGAAGCAAACTAGACGCACTGAGAATTTCAAGTAAATTGCTCGAAGGAGCCAAAATTCGGGATTGCGTGGACAGATATTCAAAAATAGCCTTGGACGTTTCAACTGCGTGTTTGGGCAAAGCACGCCGAAAGTGTGTCCCTTGCTCGAGGCCTTGGTTCCAGCAGTGCAGCAGAATTGAAAGCCGCCAGGGCAATGACTTGAGCTTGCCTGCGTGACTGAATTGTTTAGGGTCCTGCAAATAGGCTCGTTCCTGCTCTAGGACCTGAGCGTCGTAGTGCTGACAAAAATAATCTAAGGCGTCGGGTGCGAAGAAATAGGGAATCATTTCCCGGCCTTTGTTGTAATCGGAGCACCCACTGTGGTGATTGCCGTCGACTCGGTCCAAAAGATCAATAAACTTCTGAAGCAAGGATTGCGGGAGAAGCTGACGAACGTTGCTGGCTTGGGAACGTTGCCCGTACACAGTTTCATCCAAAACATCGGCCGCTTTGTCTAAGCGAGGACCGGAATGAAACATCAGGAAGCGACTGGCCATGCCTAAGGCTTCATCTTTGGCCAGGAAATCATGCCATTCCTCGATATGGCAGGACATGGAAAGACACAGACAGGTATGGTGCATGGTGAAGCGGTTCGTATCTTTCACGACCTGTCTCTTCCAGTGGCTTCCATTGAACAGCTTCGACATGGTAGAGGGGTTGAAGCCAGACCCTTCTCCAACTGTAAGAGCTCGTAACAGGAAGCGGCCTTCATCGTAGAGGCCGACTGCCCGATTCGAATTTTGCGACATTTGCAAACCCATGGCTGGCAGTGAGCCTTCATCGGACATGATGGCCGGTGGGTTAGCTTTGATGGCTGCAATGTGTCGGGCAGCAGACAGCTTGCGCTTCTTGGCGCTCTCTCCTCGGTCGAGTCCTTCAGCATCATCCATATCCATCTGGTCTGGGTCCAGGTCTTGCGCTTCTGCAGCTGCATTAGCAAGGGCTTGCTTGAGAAGAACTTTTTCAAACCCGGACGCAATGTCAGAAAGGGCTGTCACAATCCCAGATTTGTTTGCGCCGCTGTCAAGGCAAAGGCCCAGCCACAGATTAGGTGGAACGAGGAAAAACTCGTTGATGTACAAGCGGGCTCGTGAACATGCAGTCCCCAAGATAGGCAAAAAAAGAAGAAAGGCCCACTCAAAAGGACAACCGGCTTTGGAAGCGAGCTGACGCGTCATAGATGTAATCTGTGGGAAAAAATGCTTCAAGCTTGTCAAGAGGAAACTTAACTAAATCGGCCAGGACATATTTGGCAACGATATTCGCCCTGTGGGGGGCTCTGCGCATGGATTTTGGCAAAGCTTTGGTTGAAATCCTCTGGCGTACCGTGCACAAGGGGTGCAAGGTCGATAGAGGCAACAACATTCACGCCATCATCTGCTTCCCCCCATGGGCACATCTGGCGCTTCATTTGCTCCACCGGTCAAATTCACAGCCAGATCCCAGATGACCCCGCCAACCACAGATACTGGGAGAGACACGCCTGAGTTCATGTGCTTTTGGAGTCGAGCGCAAGTGTGAAAGCTGACATTGCGCCTGAGGGAAATCTTGATTTGCATGTGCGTCAACTGGCGGGCGGTTACCTGCGGGGTACCAAACCAGCGCGGATTGCTGGAAAGCTTGAGCATGACCCGGCAAAACGAACTCGTTTCCTGGCAATACTGAAAGCAGATAGCTCCCAGCTCCAAAAGTCCAATGGCCTCTGCCAAGGAAACTGGCTGAAGTGGGGCATGGGCATCAGCTTTAAGCAGAGTGGATTCAAAAATAACAATAAAGCCTTCGGGCGTGAGAGTGTTTTGGGCGGCGCAAACTTGGCCCAAAGCTTTGGTCGACAAGCGTGCGCCAAGGGTTTTCAACGTGGAGCAGAGGTCGTGCCTGAAAATACTTTCAAGTGATGCTGCACAGTCCACGCGGGTCGTATTCAAACTCAAAAACAAGTTTTCGGTTGGATGAAGTGCCCCGCGAACTGTGTCACACAGTAGAAGGCTGAGATGAACGTGATCTGAAGGTCGTGGCTGAAAAAACACGACACGAAAAGAGAATGGAAGCTGGTGGCAGCGGTAGGAATCGGCCATTGAACGTGTTAAAGCCAATGCAAGGGTGGTCAGATGCGCAGATTTGCAATGGTGCTAACACGAACACATTTTTAGTTTTCAAGTCCCAAACAAAGACATCATGTTTGTCACACAACTGCAAGAATGTCTCTGCCAAGATCGCGGGCAACGGCTGTTCTGCAAAATTAGGAGAGGAGAAAAAGGCAACCCACTGCTCGCATTGCCACGAGAGCGTCAAACAGGCATTCAAAGCGGAGGTGAACGGCAACTGGTACGAAATCGAAAGAGCATGAAAAAAAACTGCTGCAAACGCGGTTTGTGCAAAGAAAGGTCGTCCAAAAGTGTATAGTAGCATCTTGGAGGCTGTCATCGACTTCCTGAAGCACAGTATCGTCCCACACACTTTCAGTTCCAACAAACGAAGCTCTATCAGAATCATGATCTGGTTCAGCCCCCCCCATGAACAACAACTGTAGAGACTACGTCGTTGAAATCTTTCTGCAGCTTGCTTGCCTGGGGGGCACGAGTTAGCATTGGGTGGATTCGTGTGCCGTCTAGAGCGGGATGTGGCAGTGGCTGGGCTGAAGACAGGCAAAGAAAGGCTTTAGTTCTTTGCGAAAAGGCAATTTCCCAACCAGGGGGGTAACGGCAAGCGTGACAATAGTGCTAGGTCGCCGGTGTGAAC